GGTACTTTAAAGTGGTCTGTTTTTTCTTTTATATATATATATATATATATATATATATATATATATATATATATATATATATATATATATATATAGCCAATTTCATTTGATCTTTTTTCTGTTGCTTTCCTTTCCATTACTTTTGCTATTCCACACTATTAGAAGTCCTGCCAGGTATAGTGAAATATTGTAAGAGCCAGGGCGTGAATTTACTGTAGATGACCTGTCAATTAAGGCACTCTCGAGACATTTTCGTCACATCAACAAAACAACTTCTTACAAAAAAAAAAAAAAAAAAAATAGAAAGAAATCTGACGAACCACACGGAATTCTTATCTGTAAATTTATATATCCACTTGATTTTGTTGGACGAATGTATGCATTATCTGTACTCGAATCGGAATAACAGGCAATTTTCTATAAAATATTGTGAAACGTAATAATAATAATAATAATAATAAAACAAAAATAAAAGTAATGATAGAAAAACAATAAACGGTGCCTCCTTATTGATATGGCAGTCCCTGCTGACTGCGATGTATCTTTGAAGATATTCAAAAGCTGTCAAAATACAAGGACCTTGAAATAGAAATCTCAAAAATGTGGCACATGGGAACATCAACAATCCCTGTTGTAGTTGGAGCCCTAGGATTGGTTGGAAAAGATTCCAGTAGACTAATTATTACGATTGGAAGTAACCGCCCACCTTGAATTTAAAAAAAAAGCTAATGGTTATTTTGAGCTTTAAGTTAATCACAATGACACAAAACTGAACAAATCTCGAAAATTTCCGATCTTTCATTTTAAACCATTCACAAGAAAACTACATTTTTCAGCGACAGATCGATCATCTAATTATGACAGCGAAGGCGATGTTATATTCTGCACGCAACAAAGATATAATGTTTGAGATTCATTTTCCGCCACAATCTTTCTACCGCCTTCGTCATAGTTTAAGCGACACTGTTTTATTCTGATTTTCTACTTTGTCCTTTTTTTTTTTTTTGAGATTTCTAAACAAATCAGATCGGCTTCTTTCTGTGCTCGAACTTTTGAATGCATTAAAAATTTTCACCGATTAGTCAGTTTCTATCTCAATTTAAAAATAAAGGGAATATATCGCACGCGGAGAAAAGTCACGTGATACCGTTTTGCTGGGGAAAACAATAAACTTATTGGCTCCGTTAAACAAGTTTTTTTAATTTTTTTTATTCATGGATTCCTGTCTGGAAGTCATGTCTTTTATCACGACAGACTAAAGGACCAGATTTTCCCTTCGACCAGCAGGAACTTCGTTTTCATTCGATAATATATTACTCTTATTCTAACCTCAAATCTAGCTACCATGACGGATGTTATTTAAAATGCAGCTTCTCTATATAAGCCCATGAACGGAATTCCATGCTTTCCGGGCGAGTGTCACTTGATCCCTGAAGTCTTTATTTATCATTTTGTTTTATTTACTTTTTCTCTACTTCTGACCACCGGGTGACTACTTTGAAATTCTCATATCTCGATTTTACTCTTGGTTGACCTAAAACTGCTGCTCACTCCAGACCAATATTTTTAATACAAATGTTCACCCAATGCAAGAGTCAAGAGCCACTCAAGGTAGAGGGTAACTGTTTGGTTTTGTATAAGCAAGAGAAAAGAAAAAAAGTTTATACAGGAAAAATCACGGTTAACCCTAAACTTGAAGAAGTCAAGATTATAGTAAGTGGGAAACATCCTGTCAAGAATCTGCTCCAGAAATCAGGAGTCCTTGGGAAGAAGTTCTTTGAATGGAACTTACTTCTTACAAATGAAATGAGGGTAATTCATCCTCGTGTACGTGGCATGGCGAAAAAGTTTAGGACCATGTTTATGACGTTTCGTTTGTAGGAAAGGGGGGTTGTTGGGTGGAAAATTATTCATCACCCACAAGGATGCGTAGACGCTTTTGAACTATATCAAGACAGTGAGGGCTTAGCAGACCAGCTATGGCAGTTATACGAGGGTGAAAACAGACAAGTTTATAGGCTGACTAGGAAGAGAAGTGCTAGAGCTGTGAAACATTGCATGCATTAATTTTAAATCTTTTAATTAATAGCTGCATTGTTTCTTTCCAGGTAAACTGACTGTTCAAAAAGACTTCAAAGGTCACTAGTAGCGACTTCTCTTTAAAATGGGCAAACTTTAGCATCGTGTTGTTAAAAAGAACCTGCTTAAAAAGGGTTTAGCCGCCAAGGACATTCATGCTGGTTGTTACGTTAAGGTTGTCGCTTTATCAAAAGTGGTCACCTGGGGGAAAGAGAGAGAACTTAAAGATGACTCAAGTTTTGGATGTCCTGCAACTGCAACCACCGAGAAAAAAATCATTGATCGTATCCACCACATTAGTCATGGATGACAGTCAACTGACTACAAATCCAATAGCCCATGAGAGATTTGAGAATATTTTGCACAATGAACTTGTCACGACAATGGTTTCTAATAAGTGGGTGCCAAATATTTTAACGCCTAATAAAAAGCGCACCAGCTGATCACATCGCGGGAAAATCTGACATTCTTTGAAGCAGATCCTGATGTTTTCCTTAAACGTTTTGTAACCCAGGATGAGTGTTGGGTTCATCATTTTGAGCCAGAGAATATTCATGCAATGAAAATGTGGGGATCACTTACATGTGCCACACCTCCATTTCCTTCAATATCATTGGTTCGTAAATATATGATACTTATCATATGACAATTTTGCCATCGCAGGTAACTTGAAATTTTCTCTAAAATCACGGATTAGTCCATTTCCTGACCAATCGCGTATTTTAGTATCTTTTCTATATTTTTAGCGCCAAGCTTTCCGGAGCCTACCCATCGTTATATAAAGACTCACGCTGTTTGCCAACAGCCAGTAGTAGTTCAATTCTTGGAAAATAAGGCACGGCGCTATATTAACATTTTAATTCTTAATTATCACTCAATCGAGTAATCATACTAATTCCTATTGATATCACTCATGAACATTATATTTTTCTACACTGATAAAATACTGTGGAACTATTCTTTATTTAGCTAAGACTTCAATTGAACTTTGTAGTTAAATAACATTCAATATTGTACTTAACATTAATTAGCTAAACTTACCCTTTTTATTACGGAAAAGGGAAGCAACTTTTTTTATACTATTGTTGATATTTGTATATCATTGTTAATACAATATTTTATTAATGGTCACTGAGTTTGATTATTTTTCTCTCGTGTTTGTTGTGCATTATTCATGTGGGGTGTTGTTTTACAAGAACACAGCCTTCCTTCTTTATTATATTCATGGTGACCCTAGCCAACAATACTTACAGCACCACTACAAAAACATCCCTACTCACAGACACTCAAAGTCGTTGCATCTGCAGGAGAGTTGATGGAAACGTATTTCATTTATTGACTATCATCAAAAGGGCAACACCAGGGATAGCTTTTGTTAATATCAATACATTTGCATAAAACAAAATATATATGTGATCCCTAATATTTTAGGATTTCATTGCTAATGTCTTTTCTTTTTATCTCAGAGGGCAAGCGTAGCCCAGAAGGTGACAACATGCTCAATTAATATCCCACTACAAAGTGTGCTAGTCCGTGATACAAGTTCAGAGTTGATGGCGCCGTGTTTTTGGACTCCGTGCTTTGGTAGATGCCAAAACTATGTGAAATTGTAATTCCAAGCTGATGTTAGATACACACAGAAGCCGTCGTCCTTCGACATCCAAATTAGAAGAAAATTGGCGAAAGGTAGAATTTTAACACTATATTGTTCAATTTTTACATTATAGTGTTCAAAATAAATCTACCAATAAAGTTACTAACCATTTTAAGATCAAAATATATTTTTCAGAATACGGTAAAATATTAATTCCTGTTAACAAATTCAGTTTTATTGATTTCCTTTTCAAAATTCACAGATTTCTTCCAGTAAAAATTATAAAACGAATTCGCATAAATATCTTATGGACCCTAAAAGACATTAATCATACATAAAACCGAGTTTAGGTTACACTAGCAGTAGAGCCCGGCGTTGCCCGGGGATGTAACAGTAAGAGATAGATCAAGTATCGACCATCATAAAGACTGAAAAATAAAATTGACAAAGATTATTGTTTAAGGTTGACGGACATGCATGTCTTAAATAGTTTTTTTTTTTTTGACGAATTGGTCAAAACCAAAACTCAAACAAAATATTGTTTTCAATCGTTATGAGTCTACCGATTGAATAGAATTTTATTATAAACATTTGTCTTGTAAATGGAATTTTAAAAGCATTCTGAATGTAAAAATAAAGAAAAAAAAGTGTGCAAGACAATAAGAAACACTACATGCCAAAAAAAAAAAGTGAAGTTTTGTTGAAATCAAAAAATGTAGGAAACCCGATCCCATATATAAATGAACACACACACAAACAACCTGGGTTTTATAATAAGTATAACTCGATATGAGTTGTCCCCCTTTCATTCTGGCGACAGAACCGTGTTTTATCGTGTTTTCAAATTGATTTTGTGCAAAAACAATTATATTTTCCCATTTTTGGCGCTGTTAGAACCACCACAAGGTAATTTTATGTAGTCCTGTGAAGTTTTGTTGAAATCGGTTGAAAAATGTAGGAAATCCGATCCAATATATAAACGTACAGACACACACACACACACAACCTGGGTTTTATAATAAGTAAGATTAATACGTTTGGTCATCATTACCATGGAATTTGCTTGGTTTGTCATATTTACACAGATTAAATTTTATTCACAGATTGATTTTACGTGATATTTCCTGCAATCTAAAAATGATGCGCAGCAAAACAATAACGTCTATGACACCGTAATAATAATGGCTGGCAACTCATTGGCCGAGAAAATCCGTCTGCCGGGGCAGCTAACAAAACCCTGTTGAGGACACCTGATGAGATATTTTTCTGCTTCTTTTTTAACACCCGACAGAGCTAACCTGTGGTTTATACTTCAAGCGGACCTTAGTTAGACCTTCTGAGAGAGAGAGGGGGAAGAGGGGGAAGATAGGAAAGAGGGTGGAGATAGGAAAGAGGGTGGAGATAGGAAAGAGGGGGGATAGGAAAGAGGGAAGAGAGATAGAGAAAGAGAGGGGGTGAGAGAGAAAGAGAGGAGAGAGGGAAAGAGAGCGTGAGATAAAGAAAGAGAGAGGGCAGAGAGAAAGAGAGAGGGGGAGATAGAAAAAGAGAGAGAGAAAGAGAGAGGGAAGAGAAAAGGGGAGAGGGGAGAGAGAAAAAGAGAGAGAGGGAGAGAGAAAAGGAGAGAGATGGGGAAAAGAGAGAGTGAGAGAGAAAGAGAGAGTGAGATAAAGAAAGAGAGAGAGGGGGAGAGAGAGAGAAAGATAGGGAGGAAGAGAGAGGGAGAGAGAAAAGGGGAGAGGGGGAGAGAGAGAAAAAGAGAAAGGGAGAGAGAAAGAGAGAGGGAGATAAAGAAAAAGAGAGGGGGGAGAGAGAAAAAGAGAGAGAGGGAGAGAGAAAAGTAGGGAGAGGGGGAGAGAGAAAGAGAAATACAGCCGAGAGAAAAAAAAAGTTTGTGAAACACTGACCGAAATTATCAAAAATGTACTTTCTTTACAAATGAACCATGTTAAGATTCGTATCTCAGCCTCATGGTCGGTCCACCAACATTCTAACCACCTGACCACGCGCCTATTCTTATAATTGGAATAAGTTGTTGCTGTAACATAGTTTGTAGTTTATTTTTGTTTTGTTATTTCTTGGGGCGAAATAAAAAATTCGCCCCAAACAAGACAATAAAGCTACTAAGACGCAAGGTGTCATTGAGTGTGAGAGAATAGTAACCTATGTTTTATTTTGTTTGTTATCAAACGAATAAAATCAATCTATATAAACTGTAATTATACAGCCTGATGATATCAAAAGGCATTGTTGACAGTTCAATCAGGAGATAGTTGTATACAACATTTTATTAATAAAATAACAAACTCCAAAATTTATGACGAGAAGTTGCTTCATACCTAACAGACAAAACTCAATGTTTTGAAAGTTATAAAATATTTAATTTGTTTTTAAGATACCCATTGGGGCTTTCAAGAGGTGGATGTGCAGGTCGTGTAACAGATATCAGCGCTGAATATGGAGCCAGCGAGTTGAGTTCCAATTTCAGCCTCGCCTTCTGCGTTCGCATTCACAAAAATACTCTGGATTAAATAATGAAGCCGTCTTTTCTTCTCGCAGATACAGGTTAAATGACAGGATAGATTGGGTGCCCTTGACTTGGAAGGTAGCCAAATCCAGGAGGATTTTTCTAAATTCCAAAACATAGAAAAGGTAACGGGAAAGTCCACAATCTTTCCAAAGAAGTCATGACAATTCACAGATAATAAAGAAAACGGAATTTGTGGAGATCCATAACCCCTACGTCCTGAAGGGGCCTAGTATTAAAAAGATAGTGGATTGAAAGGTATAGATCCACAGATATTTTGTACTTTTACCAAAAATTGATTTAATGTATCTTTTTTATTTATTATTTTCTACTTAATTAATCCATTTTCATTTTATTTTAAATATTCATATCAGCATTACACCTTTTATCAATAAATTTGAACCGACAGGAATGATTTATAACGTAACTCTAAAAGTATTCATGCTAAAACAAAAATGGATAATTACTTTCAAAAGAAAGATGTTGTCTTCTAATAAAAACGAAAGAAAATTATGGAATGAAATTTCTAACCAAAGATGTCTCTTTAGAAGAAACTTGAAGTAGATAAAGAAATTGTTTAGATCAATTTTTTTTTTTCATTTTTTTATTTTTGGTAAAATTCATATTCAATAATTCACTTTGAGAGAAATAGATTGCTTTTGGAGTAATAATGAAAACACTCTCACGTAAATAACAGGAAATGTTGATTAAACCAGCAAGCCAAATCGTTTCGGTTGAAAATGAGCTAGGAGGATGTGTAAGCATCAAAGACGCATTAGGTTGGACGAGATGTTATTTTTAAATTGAGGCGAGCAAAATAAGAGAACTTTTTTTTTTGTATTGTTGCAAAGATGTTGAAGCTGAAGGGGGGGTGTAGAAGCAATAATAACAGAAACCATAATAATAATAATAATACTGATAAAAGACGTAATCATAATTGTTGTGAGTGAGTGGATGTTGCCGTGAGGATAAACAAGACAGAAGGACGAATAAAGAAAAAAAAAGCACGTATCTTACCTGAGTGCAATTAATATAGAAGGAAAATATTTTGTGTAATTGTCGGTCGGACTCACGTCGCCAATGGAAACGAGGTTGAAATTGGTGATTGCAGGCGAATATTATCAATTTATTTGTGCAAGAAATATTTTTGGATTATCATTATCTTGGTTATAAGGAAAGTGTGTACAGTAATATAAATATATATGCACACACACACATATATAGAATAGACACACAAATATCTATTACACACACACAAACACACACACATATATATATATGTACAGTGTAACCCGGATATAAGAGAGTTGTCAGGACCGGAGAAGAAATCTCTTATATCCGGGTTTCTCTTATATCCGGGTTTGGTCTATTTTGTTTAGGTAAATATGGGAACACTTTGGGACCAGAGAAAATCTCTCTTATATCCGGTTTTCTCTTATATCCGGGTCTCTTATATCCGGGTTACACTGTATATAATATTTATTTAATAATTACAACATAAGCGTGTTAAAACATCACTACAAAAAATAGCCATTTTGTTTCAACACTACTGGTGTCTTGTCAAGTGATCGTGTTGATTGCAAAATAAAATATTTTAAAGAGTTCAAAAACCAATACCCAGGCCCTCAATTGGGGGAACATTATTACGTAAGTGATGATAGCCAATCAAAACACACGTATATGATAATACAAATAACTTGACAACTGACCCTAGATACAATTTATTAATGCTTTAATATCGATATTAGATTAGATTGGAAAATGGTATAACTAATTAATTATTTATTTACTACGCATTTAAAGAATAAAAATTAAGAATATTAATTTTTAAATATTACCATGCATTAAAATTAAAAATTTACAAAATTATTCAAAGAAGAAACGGGGAAAATATATATGTTGTTCTTAGCTTATATGTTAAGTTATCCATTCGAATCGGGGCTGATCTAAGAGGTACACTTTATATTGCTAAAAATTTGCTACAATGAGAGGGTTTTGGCTGCAAAGTGGACAAGGGAATAATGTTTATAGATGACAATGCAGGCAAAATCACATCTTTATACACAAACAAGTAAATATGATAGAATATATATATATATATACGGACGCAAACATACGACCGATGCAGGAAGAAGCGGGGGAGGAAGAAAAGAAATAAGAATAGGGATAGAGTAAACCAAACGACCAGATATAAGCAAGCGTATACGCGTGTGCTGGTGTGAATACGCGAGCAAGCAGATAAATAGGCATCAAATGTATACATGAGGTGGAAACATAATAGTGCTCGATGTAGATAAACAGACAAAAGACACACACACACACAGATAGATATATAAATATATATTATAAATTAATTGATTTAAAATATGGTTTTTTTCGCTACACAGTTCTAACCATGTTTCAAAAATGGAAGCTAAAAGCCACGAATTTAATTTTGTGATTAAATTAAAGACATTAGTTCCATTTCATCCTCAAGCGAATTTTGAGTAACTTTTAAAATCACTGGGTTTTAAATACACAGCAAAAACAAAATTCATGTTTCAAGGTTACAGATAAATCTATTTTTCTAGACAGAAAATTGGCTGGGTTTTTAATATGTCTACAATTTAATGTATCAGTTATTGCTATATTTATATTACGATTTTTAAAAATTTTATATTTAAATATTTTTTAAGTAAATTTTTTTTTATCTTTACGGCAAAAATAGCTACTTCATTTCTCTAATTTAGTAGATTTTATTGTAATTAAATAAATAAATAAAGTTTACTAAATTAGAGAAATGAAGTAGCTATTTTTGCCGTAAAGATAATAAAAAAAAATTTTACTTAAAAAATATTTAAATATAAAAATTTAAAAAATCGTAATATAAATATACTTGATATAGAAAAATAATTTTACTGACGGTAAGTAACTCGGATACATTTTACTTCTATTAAATGAAATATAGTCTATAAAAACTAATAATGAAAATATTTTAAAGTTGTAATTAAAACTGTAGTTAATTAAAATGAATTCTAACCTAAACTTCTTTTAATTTGTAATTAAATAAATAAATAAAGTCTACTAAATCGGAGAAATGAAAATTTTATTTTAGTAATATTTAAATATAAAATTTTTTAAAAATCGTAATATACTTTAAATATACGGAAAAAAAATGCCGTAAGAATTTTAGCCGTTAACAATATAATTTTAAAAAAATCTAGACGACAGGCTTTAACGGAAGTTAGATTTCATTGAAAAATACATCCCTTCCCACGACCCAAACGTAGCAATAAGTGATACATTAAATTATAGACATATTGAAAACCCAGCCACCCCTGTCTAGAAAAATAGATTTATCTGTAACCTTGGAAACATGAATTTTGTTTTAGCTGTGTCTTTAAAACCCAGTAATTTTAAAAAGTTACCCCAAAATTCGCTTGAGGATGAAATGGAACTAATGTCTTTAATTTAATCACAAAATTAAATTTGGGGCTTTTAGATTCCATTTTTGAAACATGGTTAGAACTGTGTAGCGAAAATACCATATTTTAAATCAATTAATTTATAATATTAATGCTCTGTAAATTTACATTGAGCACTATTTTGTAAAAATAAAAATATCTATAAGAACACCGGATTATATATCTTACAGTTCTTTCTTTTTATTTATATATACATACATACATACATATATATATATATATATATATATATATATATATATATATATATATATATATATATAATTATTTATTTAAAAATATGATTCCATCGCTACGTAAGAGTTCTCATGTTTCAAAACAAGAGCCGAAAACTTCAATATAATTATTTGAATTAAATTGAATTAAAGTACCGAGCTCTGTTCCATCTTCAAGCGACATTTTTTTTTGGGGGGGGGGGGTGGAATAACTAATTTCTGAAATTTACGCGTTTTATAAGCATATTCGTTATAAAAATTAAAATTACTATGTTAACGGCTAGAGGAATTATTTAAAGAAAAGGGGCGTAAGGGTTAATAATTTGTATCAATATCTCAGTTACATTCAAAGACGTCAAGTCAGGGTAAGGTTGGGGTGTCTAAATTTTAAAGCGGAATATCACATCGTCTAGTCTGGTTAAGTGTCTATGGAAATTTGTTTTTTTTATTTTTTTTATTTTTTTATTGTTTTCTGAAAGGGTTTTGTGTATATAAAAAAAATTGTCATAATTCGCTAACATTTGTTTTTTTTGACGACTTCATAAAGGGTTATCTTTTTTTATTGGGTAGGGGATTTAAACTATTTATTTAGACTATGGAGTTTAAAATTTGTATTTATTATTTTGTTTGTTTTTTATGCTAATTATTCAATGCGAAAATTTGATGATGTCAACAAAAAAACCGTTAATTCATGTCTATTGTTTAATAAATTTTTATTGTTTAGAAACTTAATAATGTGTAGTTTTTCATGTAGGCATAAAGGGCATGGGTCATCCCAAGTTTTACAAGTTTTAGTTTTGTTTATAATTTTACATTTTACTTTTGGTGTTTTATTCATTTCCTTCAAATGCCAAAAATATTTAGATAGAGATGTCTGATTTCTTTTATTTATATTGTTGAAGGAGCACTTATGCTGCCTCCATCTGGTTTTAAATGCATTCTTCGTAGACCCAATGTATATCATATTAGTATTAGGACTCTCAATGGATGAGATAGTACATTGGTATACCACAGATTTTACGCGGCATTTATTTTCCAATGGGCAGTTTTCTGGGTTTCTACAATCACATAATTTTTCATTATTTTTGTCTAATTTAAGTGTAGGCTTTTTATTAATACTATTCAGGCATGGGGGTTTATTCAGGATTTTATTATTGTGTTTTTTTTATTATACTTTCTACATTTTCAGTGCAACTGTAACCTAATTTTAGGGTGTTCTTATTAAATATTTTACTAAGTCTACTATTAGTAGAAAAGTGTTTTTCAATTAAAGCTAGGAATTTCTGTCCTAGCTTAATACTAACCATTTGGTTGAACGGAGGGGTATACCAAATGATGCTTTTTTTTTCGCTACACACTTATAACCATGTTTCAAAAATGGAAAGTAAAAACTTTAAATTTAATTTTGTAATTAAATTAAAAACATTAGTTCCATTTCATCTTTAAGCGAATTTTGGAGTAATTTATTTTTTTTAAACATTACGGAGATTTAACTGCAAGCGAAATTCATAATTTACGGTTACCAAGGATACAGAGAAATCCAGTCATGCAGACAAGGGGTGGTAGCGTGTTCATTTTTATTAACTTTTGTCGTATCAGTTATTTGTTACGTTCGAAAAAGGGGTTAAGTTTAGGTACAGGTGGGGATGTATTTTTCAACGAATACTGACATCCATTAAATTTATGTCGTCTGGGGTTTTTTGGGGTTTTTTAAAATTTTATTGTTAAAGGCAAAAATTCTTACGGCATTTTTTCTATTTGTATACTTACAGATTTTTGGGGGGATGTTTAGGTTAGAATACGTTTTATTTAACTACTATTTTAACTACTATGTATTGCTATATGACTGATGATCAGGCTAGAAAATGAGCTCTCTCCCAGAAAGTATAACTAAAGTCCGCTCGACCTAGTTGCAGGTGGACTCTGCGGATGTTAAAAAAATGTGGCTGAGCAGGCGTCTGCTACAGGGATTGGATAGCCACCCTATAAAACAGGCATATTCGGATAATTACAAGAAAAATATATCAATGTTTCCAGATATATATATATGCAGGTAATAGCATATACAAGCAATCACAGTCTTTTT